ATTTCAATCCAAGTACAAAATAAAATAATTATGTGAAATATAAATGGACTAAAATCTCCATATAAAAGACAAAAGCAAAAGTAATACTAGACAAAGGAATATCCCAGAAATAGGTATTAAAAAGGAAAATATATTTATTTTATAAAAATATGATTTAAAGATAAACTGAAGTTTGGGAATATATAACATGGCACAGCATAACATACTTTGAGCTACACAAGACAGCCCCAATTAAAAAAGCAAAATTTTAGAAGAACTACTTGGAAATTATTAGAAAAAAAAATTGACACAAGGGCCTCTAACTTATTTTTATTGCATGTATATATATGTGTACATTTTGTATATATGTATATGTATGTTTATACCTATGAAAGCATACAGGGAAATGAATCCAACATTTTGCTACACATCAAAACCATATGGGAGTCTGGTGTACAGAATGAAAGATTTTTGTTCTTCAACACTACTTTCAAACACTTGAATATGCTACACTTGAGGTGGCACTAAAAATCTCTCTTCCTCAAAAATCTCTTGAGATTAATTTTCTCCAACCTGATATGAAAATCATAGGAAAGAAATTTTAAAGAATATACACAAATTTTATTATTTCTAAATATCCAACTACTATTCTAAAAAATTATCATATGCTAAGCCACTATGAACCCAATATTCATTTCTTTTGCCCTCAAGGCACACACTGCTAACAAATTACAAGAAATTATTACAAATTATAAAAGACTTCACAATAGGGATTTTTCTCAGGAACTTTCCCTTGAGCCTACAAGTAGCTACTAGTAATCCTCTACAGTTAGGTAAACTATAAAAATAATTTCATTTCTCTGTATGTTTTCAAAATAAAAAGGAAAAATATACCAAAAGCAATTATTGATGACCCTATTTTGTATTAATGATGCAGTAACACTGGAAATTAAGAACCAAAGAATAAACAAAATTTCCAAGTAACTTAGAAATCTTATCTTCAAACACCATATTGACTCACAGACAAAGTTGGAAATCAAGCATTAAATAAGTCTATTTAGAAAGCAGTAAAAATTTAAAAAATAATAAAAACCTGTATATCGAATTTCTAAAATAAAGGCAAAATAATACCCCAAGTAAAATCTATAGCTCCAAAAGTTCACCATTAAATAACAAACTAAAGATTACAAAGAAACAAAAATTAAAGAATAAAAAGAGCAAGACTTTGTGATGTTTCCTAAAGCTAAAGAAAGGAATTCTATTGTTAAATATATAAAATACTAAATATAAAGCAGAAAACTTGAGAATTTTAAGTTTATGAACTTGGTCCTTGAAAATAACAACTGTATTAAACTACAGCTAATCAGAAAACACACACACATATGTAAAAATCAAGATAAAATTGAAAAATTAACATTAAGTCAGATAAAATTATTATTATATGACAATTAAAGTTCAAAGCCATTTATATTAATAACTAAATCAAGTCATATAACTTAGCAAAATGACTCAATAAAACCCTGGAAAGTGATGATAAATTTATAAAAAGAACTAATCTTCCTAAGAGTAATATTTAACTTATTAGTTATTTGCAATAAAAATAAGGAATTTTTGTAAACTTTCAATTTTATTTTAAATATTTCAGGGTGCAGAGTAAAAAGGACTGTTTTTCATGTCTTTGTATAAAGTAAGCATAAATGTGTAAGACTGAAAACAAAACTTCTAAAAATACATATAAAAGACCAATTTGTGAATGCATGTATATATTCAAAAGCATTTAAAAGTTATAAAAATAAAAGTAAACGTTATTGTACTAAATGGCTATTATGCAATATTATTACTTCACCTCCTATTAAGATTTTTTTAAATTAGAAATGAAAGATTCCACCTTATTTATTATCTATTCAATATCAAGCTGAGACTTTAAAAAGAAAAGAAAGTTGTCATCTGGGAGGGTAGAGAACCACAGAGCTGTGCAAGTCAGATTTATAATACTATAGCAGAGAAGAAGTTTGCTTTTAAGATAGAGGCCCTTACTATATAATCAGTTGAGAAGAAAGTAGGCTGTCAAGGAGGCTTAGCTCAGGCCCACTTTATTTATTTTTATTTTATTTTTATTTTTTTTAAGGCCCATTTTAAATATGGGAAAGCTGGGCTTAATTGTATAGAACTACTTGGATCCTCCTGCTAACCAAAGAGCTTCCTAGCCTCTCCCTGTACCAAAACAACCATAAGAGGAGGAAAAGGAGAATTTGGTTACTTAAGTCAAGAGCAGGAGAAACCCAAAATATTTTAAATAAAGACAAAGATAACTCAAGAATTTATCCGACTAGCTCACAGCTCTTATTTTGACTATAAGCCATTTTAAAAACCAGCAATGTTGAAAGTGTCAAACTGACAAGGAAAAAAATTATCTAAAAATAAATAAAATTTTTATTCCATTACTAAAATATCATAGATATGAATAACAAGAGAATTTGAAAAAGGCTATTGCCTGAAAAAAACCCACTGGAATTATTCCCAGATTTTAAAATCTTTAGATAACTTCAGATAATAGCACTGGAATTAAGTTTAAATCATGTAAGATCCACCCAAGTATATGGCCTTCCCATATGATGACATCATCTTGCTCTAGGAGTTAATGCTCACCAAGAGATTAGATTAGATGGGTTCCTCACACTCTGCTGAGTGACAGCTCTCACTTGAAACTAAATTTTACATTTTCGTATCCATACCAACCTTCTTCATGAATATAATAACAGGCTAGAAGAGCAGTTCTCTGAGTGTGGTTCATGATCCAGCAGCATCAGGATCACCCAGACCTACTGAGCCCCAGAATTGCTGAATGAGAAACACCTGAGATAGGGCTGACACTCTGAGGTTTAACATCCAGGTGATTCTCATGAGCATTCAAGTTTGTGATCTCCTGGGCTAAATATACAGGGATAACATTTAACCTAGAAGTTTGCATATAAGGCTGAAACTCCCCCAAAAGGTGATGGGATAAAGAAAGAAGTGTTTATACTTCATATGAAAGGTATGGTAATATTACCTTATAAATTTCTATAGGAAACACATGAGTTCATAGATGGAGGTAGTGAAGCTATATTAAGGGGATAAAAGAGAGAGGGTAGAAACCACATGGAAGGGAGAAAAGGAAAGGAGAAATTAAAAAAAATAAAGGGAAAGAAACTAGGTAGAAGAGGAGAGACTGGATAGAGGAAAACTCCAGATGAAGAGAGAGAGAGAGTATGGACATATGGAGAAGCCAGACAGAGGGAGAGAAAGAGGTGGAAGAGAAAAGGGGCACTGATTTTAAATTGCTGCCAAATATTCTGCTTTCAGTGGGATTAATTGTGCAACTTTGGGAAAGTTGAGACTAATCAGTTTTTTCACATTTCACTGCATGAAGACTTTAAAAGTAGACTGAATATTTAGATATGAGGAAACCCACAGAGTTCTTTGCAATTCAGTAGAAACAGAGAGACTTCATAGGAGATATAGGCCTTCCTAATAATACAGGCTTGTAAATCTTAAATTGGATTTAATTTTTTATCCCCAACTGAAGAGTGAGTCATACCGATTTTCTACAATATGTCAGTGAGTGCTACATGTGGTTTAACTATATAGTGTGTGCATGTGTGTGTATATATACACATAAATACAAATTTAATGATCATATAATTTATAGCCAATATACATCTTGATATATAAAATGACAGGGTCTCGCTGATTATGTGTGCACATATACATATGTACATATGCACACAGATTATACAAATATCAAAGGACATTTTCTCTTAGTAATGGTATTAAGAGGAGTTAAATTCTATTCTTTATTCCATTTTATGTACACTTGAGGCTTAATATATTTTCACTAAGTTTTGGAGGATATCCTGTTTACAAAACAGGTGTATGTATGTATTTGTTTTTCCCTAAGGCAGATAACTATGTTTCAACAACACTAGCACCTTTTATGCTATTTTATTTTTACTAAGAACATGTTTGAAATGTGAAATGTGAAGTAATGGGACAAACTTTTTAGCAAGTTTGCCAAAATTCGTACACTCAAATATATTTTCATTAAAACAAAAAAAACAAAAAAAACAAGAACTAATCTCGATAGCCATACATTTATTCCAATAATATTGCCATTCTATTCTTGAAACTTACCTTTTTCAATTGCTTCCAAAACTTTCAGGATATTGCTTTAAATATCAAATAGATAAAAATATTTTTCATTTTAAGATGGAAATGCAAATAATGCTTAGAGTTGGGTCTGCTTAATAAAAGGGGATATCAAGTTGCACAGAACTTTTTTTTACATTATTTTACATAAAGTTAGGTGTGATTTAAAAGTGACAATATTATTTTATTCTTTTTGGCCTCCATACTGCTTTTTATAAAGCAATTAAAATAGTTCTGAAATTATTATTAATAATCATTTCAGTGTAAGAACAAGCATAAAATCTCAAACAACATAAATTTGAGTGCTTAATTTGTGATATTTTTAAATCAAAGGATGCCTTTTACTACATAGCCACTGTGAATATCGTCTTCTGTGACTTTACAAAGGATATAGTATGTTTGTGGTTTTATGGAATTTTTTTAATCTTACTAATGGAGCATTAAACTGACCTGGAAAATACAGAATTAAGTTTTAGTTTTAATCTAAGCACTCAGTGTACCTGGCAGCCAAAGAGGAGGTTGAAGGGCAATATCGTAGCTGTTTAGGTGAAATTATTGAGAGGTTAAGGCTGCCTGTTCTTCTCCTCTGAACTTTGACATATATATCAGTCTCTACAGTTTAGCCTGGCCTTTTTAGCCTCATTTGCATGAGCCAAGGCTGTATAGTCAGCAATGTAACTGCCCAAAGAACCAATCCTATTAGTCCAAGTGAAGATATTTCTTCTTTGCTAAATGAGAAAGCAGGCTACAATACCAATCATTAGATACATTTGAAAAACATTAAATACATGTATTAACATTAGCCCCTAGAGAATTTGATTTCTCAGAAATACTTGCCTGTAAATCCTGGGATACATTTGCAGTAGAAATGGACACTTAAATGTATACCGGTTGCTTCATTTTTGCAGGGCACAGATTTACAATCTTCAGTTTCTATTTCACAGATGTTTCTTTCAGATCTTTGCGGACAGCTACAGTTGCAGTTGTGCAAATGGACCAAGCAGAAGCCATGCACTGACGTACTCTGGTTTCCTAAGCAATCTTCAACACTGAGGTTATAGAATCCGTCCATGTAAACAGGAGAACAGCTGCATCTGCAACATGCAAAAACAAAAAATCCAATTAGTCGTAAAATTTAAATACATATTCATTTAAATACACAGGATAGCAATACAATAAATATGGTTGTGGGCACACTTTTAAAATATTCTTAGAGAAAATGTTGGTTCTTGGCAAAACTTAATATTGCTTATTGTAGAGAGTGAGTAAAAAGAACTTTAGAAAAAGACAGACCTAGACTCAAACACAGGTTCTGCCACTAATTTCTATGTAACCTAGGATAGCATCATTAACCCTCCTGAGGCTAAATGACAAGGTTAACATTTGCCAGAATTTCTGTGAAAATTTGCAGTGTGAGAGCCTGACAATTACCTTTCTGATTGCAAGGTGAATGCTCAACATAAACTTTTGAGTGTCAGGCATTCATTTCAAAGATATTTATCCTGAATAAACACACTGCCAGCTACACAAATAGATGAAGGGGCAGCCTGACCCACCTTTTTACAAAACCTTGTTTTTTTACAAAACCCTTTTTACAAAACCTTGGTTGACCTAGATAACCGACCTTATGTGTGACCTTTCTTTTCCCTTCCCGCTCTTTAACTTCCGTTGGCTGCCGTGTTTTAAGATTTTATTTATTTATTTGACAGACAGAGATCACAAGTAGGCAGAGAGTCAGTCAGAGAGAGAGGGAAGCAGGCTCCCCGCTGAGCAGAGAGCCTGATGCAGGACTTGCTCCCAGCATCCTGGGATCATGACCTCAGCTGAAGGCAGTGGCCTTAACTCACTGAGCAACCCAGGATCCCCAGCTGGCGTGTTTTAAATTCACCAACAGAGTGAATCCAAGAAACCCTAGGCACCCCCCCTCATCTCAATAAAGCCACAACTCTAGGTCGGCTCTCTTTTTACCTGATATTTAACCTGTGTGGCCTGCCCTGTCAGCGGGAACCCGAGGTTAAAAGCGAAAAAACAAAAAACAAAAGAAAAGCCCTTGTTCTTTCAACGAGGAGCATCTTGCAATTCTGAGAAACAAAACAAAACAAAACAAAACACAGGAGACAGTCCTGCAACACTGGCTTGAGGAAATGCCTGTGTGGGGTCTCCAGAAGTCAGCACTGACCCTAGAGAGTGCCCCAGAATTCCCGACAGGTAGGTGAGTGTCCCAGGCATTGGCAGCCGACAAGTGAGTGATGAGCGCACCAGGCATTCCTAATCAATAGCATTACTATTGATAGGCTGAGACATGCACAAAACAAATTTGAAATATTTAACCTCATGCCTAAGAGAAATGGGGTTTTAATTAATAACAGTTTCCATTGAAAGTATCCATTCATTCATTTCTACATTCATTCCATAGATATAGATCTTTGCGTTTTCTATATGACTGGCATTGACCTAAATATACCGAACAAACATTCTTGGGTCTTTATAGATTAGGCACCACCTTTGGTAAAGTGGATTATGAAATGCTATCTTATTACAATTATACACCATATAATATGCACACATTATTCCTTTGAATATTGTATATACATGCACATAAAGCATCAGAAAAAGAACATGAGAGGTAAGAAAGAAACCTAAATCAGAGATAATCTTTGGTCTAAAGTATAGTGCTGTAATTTTGAAGTATCCTTCGCCAACTATTCAAAGGACACTTAAGATAATCATATAAACATGTCAATGAGTGGAGAAGAGCAATGTCAAATTACTTTGCTTGTTATTATTAGTGAAAATTAACCTACTGAACCTAAGTCATTACACTCATAAATTCATATGATGGTAGGTGTTTGGAGCCAGCAAGAATGTTAAGCGTCAATTTGTTCAAACCTTTCTTCTTGTAGTTGTGAGAAACTTAGCCATTTAATGCAATTTGCCAAGGATCACTGAGATTGTTAATGGCAGTTAGGATAGTTGATGCTTTGATATATTCAAAGCACTGGCCTTGGAATAGGAACCTTGGTTCTAATTCTTCTCTAACTTATTTAGAAGTTTTTGTGCCCTAGTTTTCTCATCTGTAAAATTATCAGTACTACATCTATTCCATAGAAGAGGATTAAGTGTGTTCATTACTGGGCAGGTAAGGCGGATACCAACCATATCATATGTGTATATGTTAACTTGAAATAAAGTAATTGAACACAGGCACGGCAGCGATAAATGGAGACTGATTATAGTAGTTTCTTTTTAGAAATTCAAGTAGGATGATATGATTTTCCAATATGGTTAAAAAATTCTAATACACTTCTGAATAAAACATAGTATGTCCTTGATCAACATGAAAGTTTCATTCCTGGAAAATCCAATGATTATTAAAATTTTATGAAAATATTTTGTGTCACTATGTAAAATGAAGTTAAGATATTGGCTCAGATAGTTATAAAAAGGTTTTATATCCACATTAATGTATGCTGGGACTTTTGGAAATTGTGCAAACCATGGAACACTTTTTGTTGTTCATGGAATCATTCTGTGCATTGAAAGATTTATAACATTCATCATCCATCACTTACCTTCTAAATGTTAGCTGTTTCAACCAATTATACTGAATATTAGAATGGCCCTAGAGGGGCACCTGGGTGGCTCAGTGGGTTAAGCCTCAGCCTTTGGCTTAGGTCATGGTCTCAGGGTCCTGGGATCAAGCCCTGCATTGGGCTCTCTGCTCTGCAGGGAGCCTGCTTTCCCCCTCTCCCCCCGCCTGCCTCTCTGCCTACTTGTGATCTCCGTCTGGCAAATAAATAAATTAAATCTTAAAAAAAAAAAAAAAAAGAATGACCCTAGAATCCAAAATGTCCCCAGAATATAAGACCATCTCTTTGAAAAATCATTGACCTAAATAAATTTCTCTAGTTTACTAAAGCACTCAACCAATCATGTACAAGTTTGTGGAGCATTTTGTCATCCCAATTAATAATATGCATGTAAATGCTGGTATACATGCATATATGGATACCTAGTGCTAAGATAAATTGCTATTAAATTGAAAGCTTTTCAGTGACAATACATCAATTTTGTTAGAAAAGAAAGTCAAGAAAATTATAGGGGTCCACATATATTATTTATAATATTAAAGTGTTCTTATAATTTCATGGAACTTGTACTTTGAGAAAATAAATTGGACTAAAAGACTTCATGAATATATTACTAATTTTATTATTAAATAAGCCAGCTTTATTATTAGTCAGTTTGAATTGTACTTAAGTTTGAGACAAGATTGAAAGAATAAAGCAAAACATGTCAGTTGAAAACATTATCTCATACATAAATATTGTGATTTAAATTTTTTCATCATTTAGTATTTTAATGGAAAAATATTCTAGGTAGAGATGAAATTAAGGATATCACTCTATCTATTCACCCTAAATCCTAGGATTATGATCCATATGCCTGATATACAGTGGATGCTCCATTAATATTGTTTGACTATATAATATAAATTGAATTATGTTCAAGAGAAAGGTCATCTTAAAAGTTCTGAATAAACAGATTCATGAAATTCCAAGTCTTAGGAGATAATTTGAAAAGTAATACCAAAAGGTTAGACCTATAAAAAGCTATTTAGATATAATGAAGTAAAATAAAAAATCTGGTCCAGATAGCACAAAATCATATAACATGCATACATTTTTTATTGTTTGACATATAAAATTAAAGCATGAAAAGTCATAGAGCCTGAAGCTATAATATAGTCAAACTTTGACTTTATACCATAACATATGCATTGGTTTGCACCCGAAAGAAAAAATATATATATGGGAGATAATTATGTATACATTAGCTAAGTTTCAACCCAAACTATAATTGAAACTAATTATACAAAAGTGCTTCCTTTAATGAATTTATTATAATTAACTTTTGGCATAGAAATGGAAATTACAATAGTATCTACTTTAGAACGGCTTAAACAAATTAATGACCTCTATATCATTTTACTATAACGCTTAGAGAAATAAGGTTATCTCATTTTCCAGGGGTCAATAAAAAGGAAAAAAAAAATATATATGTATACGTATATATGCATGTAAGTGCAATACACAAAAGAATCCAGTCACTAAAGAAATGTTGTTTAGTAGCAGCAAGACTAACCAAAACAAAAAACATATACACATACATGGGGACATACAAGAAGCCATACTGATAGCAGTTCACATTCCTTTTTTGTTTTCCTCTCTCCCCCACCCCCATCGAAAGTAAAATGTAACAAAACTTTTGCATGGGACTCAGAAAAGTTTGCATAACACACCTAAAATTAAAGCTAGAGGCACCTGGGTCAGCTCAGCATCTGACTCATGGGTTTTGCTCAGGTCATGGCCTCATGGTTCCTAAGACCTAGCCCCCTATAGGCTCCTGGTTCAGAGGGAGGCCTCTTTGAAGAGTCTCTCCTTCTGCTCCTCCCCCCTCTCACGTGTGCATGAATGTGTGTGTGCATGTGCTCTCTCTCTAAAATAAATAAATCTCAAAATAAATAAACACAAAACAACACATTCAATTTCTGAATTAAAAAGTCATCAATATCATGGCAAAAATAAAATAGTCTTAGAAATTAATAATTATCAGACTTCCTAGTTAATAGGTAATTTAAGAAAGCCATAATCAAAATATATTTCTGTGACAAATTCACCTAAAGCTGTATATATTATATAAGCCTCCTGACTCTACAGAAATAGGTTTTGTAGCTATACTTGATTTTATCATGGACTTCGAGATTTTACACTTTAAAATAGAACTTTTGCTTATAACTGAAAAGTAGTGTCTTGGTTATATTTAGCATCTCATGGAAAATGTGAATTTTTAAAAAATAGCTCATAAAAGAAACAGGTTTATTTTAAAGTTCCCAGAAAGAAAGCCAGAAAATTCATTGCTATAACACAAACTACTTGTATGTTTAGAAAGTGGAAATAATAATTATTTTAGTAATATAAAAAGATATTTGCTTTCTACATGATCTAGAGTAACCATGAAATGTGTTCTGAGGAGACCATTAATTTATTTATGGATACCTGGGGTCAGGTATCAGATATCATTTTCACATTTTGCTTAATGTTTTCCAGTTAGGGAATACTCAAATGTTTAATAAATATATGAATGAACAGATTTCATTTTGATATGATATTTCTGATTAGTACAGATTGGTGACTTGTTCATAAACTTAAACTTCATAAATGGTTTGAACAATTCACAGTCTGGGCCTGGTGTTGCAAAGTTACTACCCCATAATTACAAAAACTATACCAAGTCCAGAGGCAAAATGACTAGTGAAATTTTTTTTCACTAGTTTTTTTTCCTCCCCTTAAGGTTTTCCAAATTCCCTCAAAAATGTTTTTGTACATTTTAGGTCAAAAATGTGGTAACACTCAAACCTGTGTAAAATACTTCATTTCCATTATGCCCCGTAAGCTGCATTCTATAGAAAAATATTTATGATTAGCAACTATCAGTTAACATTATTATCACTGTTTTTACTGTGTCTTTCATCATAAAGTAGTTCTTTAATTTAATATTATTACAGTACTATCATTGCTACAGTGCTATCATTGTTTTACTTTAAAAGTTGTATCTTGGGCACCTCGGTGGCTCAGTGGGTAAAAGCCTCTGCCTTCAGCTCCCGTCATGATCCCAGAGTGCTGGGATCAAGCCCCAGTCATGATCCCAGAGTGCTGGGATCAAACCCCACTTTGGGCTCTCAGCTCAGTAGGGAGCCTGCTTCCCCTCCTCTCTCTGACTACTTGTGATCTCTGTCTGGGAAATAAATAAATAAAATTAAAAAAAAAATAAATAAAAGTTGTATCTTGTCAGTTTCATTTTAAAAGTTTTCCATCCCAAAACTGCAAAAATATCTTCCTACATTTCTTTCAGCTGAATGGCAATTTTGCTTTTTTAATATGTTTCTGAACATATTCAGAGTTTGCTTCTACATAAAGTGTAAGGCTGTAGTCAGCTTTATTTACCGTCTCATAGTATATTTACATAGTAAATGACATAGTATATTTACATTAATTGATTTAAGGATGTTAAAACATCCTTGTTGAAACATCCTTTTTAAAATTCCATGTTAAAACATGAAAACCTTGTATTCCTATGATAAATTCCCCATGGTCATGATACATAATTTTTTTATAGGTTACTGCATTTGTTGTGCTGTAACTATATTGAGGGATTTTGTGTTCAGATTAATAAGACATATTGGTCTGTAGTTTTCTTTTCTTGTGATGTCTTTGGTTTTGTTATCATTGTAACATTGGTCTAATAGAATAAGTTTAAAAATGTGTCCTCCTCATTTAGTTTTGGATGAGTTTGTGAATAATTTCTATTAATTCTGCTTCAATGTTTGCTAGCATTCCCCAGTGAAACTATTTAGGCCTGAATATTTCTTAGTGTGAATTTTTTATTTGTTTGTTGAATTACAACTTAATCTTTTTGCTTGTAATAATTTTATATTCAGATTTTCTATTTCTTTTGAGTCAATTCTAGTAGTTTGTATTTCTCTGGGAATGTCCCCATTTCATCACAGCTACTACATTTTGAGATATACTGCTGTTCATAGTTTTTTCTTATAGTCCTTTTTCTTTCTGTAGTTTAAGTAATGTTTTATCTCTCTTTCTTGCTTTTAGTAATGTGAGTCTTCTCTCTGTTTTTCTTAGCATAGGTAAGTCCTATTCATTTTGTTAATCATTTCAAAAACAGACTTTTGGTTTGTTGATATTCTATATTTGCTTATACCCTATTTAATTAATTTCAGTCTACAGTTTATGATTTTTCTCCTTTGGCTTGCTTTAGATTTAACTTTTTTCCTTTTCCATTATGTTAGGGTAGATGATTAAGATCTTCTTTATTTTTAACATAGGCATTTACAGCTATAATTTTAATTCTAAATGCTGAATTGCCTATATCCCATGACTTTTGGTATGCCATATCTTTATTTTAATTAATCTCAAATGATTTTTTAATGTCCCCTGTACTTTCTTTTTGATTCACTGATTTGTGTGGAGTGTGTTATTTAGTTTTCATATATTTATAAATTACTGAATTGCTTGTTGATTTTGATTCCTAATTACAATCAGTAGTGGTTAGAAAATATATCTTTTCTCTTATTATAATCCTCTTAAATATATTGCAGCTTATATTAACATATGACCTATCTTTGAAAATGTTCAATATGCATTAGAGAAGAATGCCAGTCTGCTAACGTTGAGTGGAATGTTCTATAGATATCTGCCAGTTTTACCAGATTTATAGTGTTCTTCAATTTTTTAAATATTTTTGTTCATCTACCAAATGTTATATCCACTACAGAAAGTGGAGTGTTGGAGTTTCAAACTGGTATTGTTGAATTGGCCATTTTTTTCTTTAATTCTGTCAGTTTTTATTTCATATATTTTGAGTTTCTGTTGTTAAGTGCATATATGTTTATAATTGCTTTATCTTCTCATGACTCCTTTGTCATTTTAAAATGTTGTTTGTTTTTTTTTCAATTAACCATTTTTTCTTTTAAAGTCTATTTTGTTCTAGCACTTTGAGAAATGCCATTGGCATTTTGATTTGGGATGATGTTTTAAGCACAGATTGCTCTGGGCAACATAGACATTTTAACAATGTTTATTCTTCTGATCCATGAACATGAAATGTTTTTCCACCCTTTTGTGTCTTCTTCAATTTCTTTCATGAGTGTTTCGTAGTTCCTAGAGTATAGATCCTTTACCTCTTTGGTTAGGTTTATTCTTAACCAATGGTTTTTGATGCTATGACTAACATAACATAAGAAAATTTAAAAAAAAATTAAAAACAAAAACAAGAAAGTCCATTTTGTCTGACATTAATAGAGATACTCTAGCTTTCTATGCTTGCTGATTGAATGGTATGTCTTTTTCTAACCTTTTACTTTCAACCTATTTGTACATTTAAGTGCATAGTGTGTGTTCTATAGATGGTATATACTGTCTATATTCAGAAATTATCTAACTTGAAAATCTTTGCCTTGGATTGGGTTTTTAACCCACTTTATTTTTATGTTATTTTTAACATAGTTGGATTTATGCTTATCATTCTCATTTTTGTTAGCCACTTATGTTTTTTATCTCTATTCTTCTGATACTACTTAACTCTTTTTTTTTTTAAGATTTTATTTATTTATTTGACAGAGAGCGATCACAAGTAGACAGAGAGGCAGGCAGAGAGAGAGAGGGAAGCAAGCTCCCTGCTGAGCAGAGAGCCTGATGTGGGACTCAATCCCATGACCCTGAGATCATCACCTGAGCCAAAGGCAGCGGCTTAACCCACTGAACCACCCAGGTGCCCGATACTACTTAACTCTTAAGTAAATATTTTGTAGGGCAAATTTTTAGTATTTGTAATGCTGTTTTTACTACATTAGCTGAGTTATTTTCTTAATTGTTGCTCTGAAGGTTACCGTACACAACTTAACATATCAGATCTACCACAGATTTAATCTATCACAGATACTAATTTAATTCTAGTGTGATATATAAAAATTATTACTGTAGGTCTTTATTCCCCTATTTTTGTGCTAATGTTGTTATACATAATAGAATATATATTATATAAATAATATATAATAACTATATATGCATATGTTTGAGCTATACATGCCAATCATTTTAAAGAAAATATTTGTATTAATTACTATAAAATAGTTCAGGAGGCTAAAAGCAAAGACAGAAAAAATGACTAGTATTGGCAAGGATGTGAAGAAAAAAGAACCCTCATGTACTGTTTGGTAAAGCCACCATGGAAAACAGTATGAAGGTTATAAAATACACACACACACACACACACACACCAGAATATTACTCAACCATAAAAAAGAATGAATCTTGCCATTTGCATAAATATGGAAATACCTAGAGTGTACAAAGTCAAGAGAAATAAGTCAGTCAGAGAAAGACAATTACTATATGATTTCACATGTGATATTTAAGAAACAAATAAAACAAAATTAGAAAGCAACAAAAAAACAACAAAAAACCCCTAAACTCTTACAGAGAACAAACTGGTGGTTGCCAGAGGGGACGTGGGTGAGGGATAGTTTAAATCCATAAAGGGAATTAAGAGTACATCTGTTTAAGATTTTACTTTGAGAGAGAGAAATTAAGAGAGAGCACAAAAGGGAGGGGCAGAAGAAAGAGGGAGAAGCAGACTCCCTTCTGAGCAGCGAGTTGGGTGCAGGCTCAATCTCAGGACCCCAAGGTGATGTCCTGAGCCAAAGGCAGATACTTAGCCAACTGAGCCACCCAGATGCCCCAAAAGTACATTTTTTTGATGAGCACTGAAAAATGTATAGAGTTCTTGAGTTATTAAAAATATCAATTCTCGCTTGTCAGTACAATTATAACTTTTTGATAAATAGGTAATATTCTTATTTCAAATGATGCATAGATACCTGGATTTATTAATTTCATCTTTATAAAGAGCTTCATGTTGACATCCACTTTCTTCATAATCAGTTGTATTTTCCAAAGACATTTTGCAAGGCCATCTTGGAATACACAGGCACCAGCATCTCTTATTGTCTTCTTTAGTCAAACAACTGCATTCATTTTCACACATCTATAAAAAAAAATTAAAAAAAAAGAATTTTGTAAATGTCCATCACATTACAAAATTACATTCATTTCAAAGTTTGAAGTTCATGCTTTCCTTTATATATTAGATTCATGTATTCTCTTAGCAAAGGTAAAATAAACTCAGTTTTGATTTATTTTAAAATTATTTTAAACAATCATATTCAGTTTATGATGGAAGTATATACATTGTAAAAAGCTAAATAAATCAATGTCCATTATTCAGTTGTTTTCAAACATCTTTAATGTAATTTGAATCAAAATTTTATAGACATTGCTTATATGTTAGCTGATATGATAAAAGTAGCATCCTACTGATAACCAGATCCATGGAAAAACTGTTTCTTGTACCACTTGTTTTTTCTCCTTCAGTGAGTTATTTGGACTCATGTTTGAACTGACTGTAACATCTTATTGCATTCCTTGTTAAAAATGAATTACATAAGGGACGCCTGTTCGGCTCAGGTCATGATCCCAGCGGCCTGGTATCGAGTCCCACATCGGGCTCCTTGCTTGTCAGGGAGCCTGCTTCTCCCTCTGCCTCTGCCTGCCATTCTGTCTGCCTGTGCTAGCTCTCTCTCCCTCTCTCTCTCTGACAGATAAATAAATAAAATCTTTAAAAAAAAGAGTGAATTACATAAAATCATTAACACATCTTTAGCTCATATTTGCATGGTAGTCATAATTTTACCTGTTTAGAGAAACATATATCATTTTAATCATTTTAGAGGTCTTTCACAAATATGCCCAGTATGTTTACCTTAAAAGATTAAGTAGACTTTGTTGCCAAAGAAGTGCATCTCTTATGGACAGCTTAAAACCAGGCATATCTTTTCCTAGCTCTCAGAAGTGAATTCAAAACCACAACAGAATTTTGATAGTCCTTTATTTTTTTTTTCATTTTCCTCTCAATACTTTTATGTTTCCTTTATGGTGTTGGTTTATAGCCAATAAATTATTTCCCACCAATGGCTACAATGATTAGAAATATAGTTCCGTGGTCTGATCATTGGTGATAGATTAATGATTTATAGAGATCTAGCCTCTGTTGGGTAAGAGTCAACTGAGAACTTCTTTCTCCACTTTTCTATTTGGAGTTCTAGTAAATTTAGAATTTTTAGTCTACTGGGAAGGAGAACATCCCTTTGCATGGACAGATACTTTTTTTGTTTTTGTTTTTGTTTTGTTTTCAATTTTATTTATTTGACAGAGATCACAAGTAGGCAGAGAGGCAGGCAGAGAGAGAGGGGGAAGCAGGCTCCCCGCTGAGCAGAGAGTCCAATGTGGGGCTTAATCCCAGGACCCTGAGATCATGACCTGAGCCGAAGGCAGTCTTAACCCACTCAGCCACCCAGGTGCCCTGACAGTTATGTTTTTGTTTTTTTCAAATGCTATTTACCCTTAAACTACAGCTAAAGTACTTTAAATTCAATCTCTCAGTTTTCTCTGCATGTGTTTGTATGTCTAAGTGTTGGTACTTCACAAAAAATATTTATCCCTTATTGTTTGAAAGTGTAATCTTTTTCTACATGCAAGGGGTATTTATTGTAAAGTTTCTTAAATTGAAGATGTCCTGTTAAAATTTGCTTCCAAAGTTAAATTAGCACTTATAAAAGAGGAAATAATTATTAGCATTTTATCACATATATTCTCTCTCTTCATATGTTTTAAATAACAATATATGTATATATGCACATATTATTAGCTTTTTCTGAAGTTTGTGATTATATTGCACTTTATCAACCCAATCACATTAGTGTGCAGTTTTTATAAAAAACTAAGGATATTTTCTTTTCATTACTTCATTAAAATTATCAAATTAGGAAATTAACTTGACATAATATTACTCATTATTATTGATGTAGGTGTGTAACATAATACGACACACAAAAATAACTTCAGCTGAATAGAAATTAAGCTACAAGAATATCTACAACATGCTTTAGAAAAATCTTTTGTACATATAAGCAAATGACTAATGCCATAATTTCAAGGAAAATCATATTTTTGTATAAATTATTTTGCCATTTCCATATTATATTAGTAAAATCACTTAGTAAAGAGACAGGAAAGGGGAGAACCTCTAAGACCTAATACATGACATATTTACCATTTTGGAGCCCATGTCAATTAAATAGATCTGTAAAGAGATTTCACCCAATAGGAGTGAGTGACTTCTTTATAAAATATGTAGAATCCTGGATTCTTAGAAAAGTATTCATCAAAGTAAAAAATGCACCAGAATTATGCTAAGTGAAATAAGTCAGTTAGAGGAAGACAATTATCATATGATCTTACTGATATAAGGAATTTGAGAAACAAGACAGAAGATCATAGGGGAAGGGAGGAAAAATGAAACAAGATGAAATCAAATAGGGAGACAAACCATAAGAGACTCAATCTTAGGAAACAAACTGAGGGTTGCTGGAAGGGAGGAGGGTGGGAGGGATGGGGTGGCTGGATGATGGTCATTGGGGAAGGTATGTGTTATGGTGAGTGCTGTGAATTGTGTAAGACTGATGAATCACAGACCTGTACCCTTGAAAATATTAATACATTATATATTAATTTTTAAAAATGCATTAGATAAAATTCAACAAGGAAGAAAGACTATTTAAGACCATTGCAGTAGGTGAGAGAAATGGAGCTCAACTTTGCTGAAACAAGACAAGAACGATTTTAAGTGCTGGCGTTAGCTAGAGGAAAAATACCAGATGAAATTAGGGGAGAGACTTTTCAATGAAATGTGTAAAGCATATTGAGTTATTCTTGAGTTTGCAAAGGTTTTGCCTTGTTAGTAGGACTTCTGTGTTTACTAAGTGGTGCCCACTGAAGTTAGGCTCCTACTCTTTCACAGGATGTTTACATTTACATCTGTCAAGGTTTATATCTCAAAGAAATAGTTCCCAGGTCCTTGAGAAAGACAGTTCCTGTGTCCTAAAACTGGCAAGAGGCAGAAAGTAGATTTGCATACATTTCAGAGAGACAGAAAAAGAATTTATAATTGCAAATTTTCTGAAGTAAATGCTCTAAAAAAAAAAGAGGCCAAGGGTCTTTTGTCAATAAGAAGCCTATCTAAAATTCAGTTAAGGTGAGGGGAACATTAAGAATGCCTAGGTCATATTTTTAGCTAAATAAAAATATATTTGGTTGAATTAAAATCCAAATTTAAACTGGCCTGGACCTAGTAAAAAATACAGAAATAGTTAAATTTGCTAAAGATCTTTCCTATTCCAACTTTTAGTGTTCCTCTGTCTCCTCTATGTTGTTTTAAAAGCATCCTCTGTCCCCAGTAACTCATAATAATATAATAAATATAATAAACTCATAACTCATAATAATATATAATCTCATAACCTTTTTGTAGCAAGAATGTAAAAAAAAAAATGAACTCACTTATATTTATGTGCTTTCCTTCCAAAAGTGTTTGCATTTAAAAAGACCTGAAGAGAGGGCATTTTTTAACACAAAGAAAGGAAAGAATACTTTTGGAATTTTAGTCTTTGATGATGAAAACTGAAATGAACCAAATTTCCTGTCCTATATTTAAAAATACTGAGAAAAATATACAAAAAATAACTTACTCTTTGCTCCATGAAATACTTTTTCTTGAAAAGTAAGACTGTGAACCAACTAAAATAAATTATTTACCAAGTATAACAGCTTGTTCATCAACTTCACTTTAAGATTCTCATCACATTCTGTCCACCAGTACAAAGCTTTATTTATGAACTCTAAGCAATCCTTACAAGGACCCACCCCCTACAACTAAGGCTCTAAAGCATACAAACATCTTTCCATAAATTCTCCCTCTGAGACACTAGTAAGACTGACTGTATTAGGTGTTGCTTCCTATTATTGTGGTAAACCTAAAAGAATTAGTTTTCTTGATCAACAGAATTGTTTTCGGAGGATCAGTCATGAACAAACACAAGATTCTGCAAAATACAATTAAAAAACCCTCACTATGAAAGTTCATGACCCTAGACAGCAAACATTGCATTACTCTGGGACCATGGGACATTTCTCTCCCCAGCTGTGTCAGTGACATAGGTATTGTATCAGATCTGAACTCCATCTTATTTTCATCAAATTCCCAAATGCTATTTTTTTCTTCTTTTAAGAAAAAGAAAGTATTTTAGGATTCTTCGATTATGTGATCTAATTTGATCCAAAGAAAAAAGAAATTTCCTCACTACTCTGGAGAGTCTAAAAGAGTATTCTACTAGAAGAGGAAAAGCATAGCTCTCACAATTTCATCATTCAGATGACCTAAATAAATAATGAATTGAGAAAGTCCCAGTAATCTACATTCCTTGAACAGAATTTTCTTTGCGTCACATTTTCAAAATCCTGCAAACACTTTCGTTCAGCTCTCAGTTTGGACTGACTGCTCTTTGGTAGATTTTGGTGACATGACATTGCACAGTCACCTACTAAGTCTTCATGGGGTCTTCTCAGTCTCATAGGCTTCAACACCACACATTCCTCCCTTCATGTTGTTAAGTCAGGTATACATCTCTCTAATTGCTATAATTTCTCAAAGGGCAATCTGAAATTGCAGGGGCCACTCTGGAGAAAAATTTTGACATGAACAAGATTGTTCATTTGACAGATACATTAGAACAAAAAAAAGAAAGACTCTCATGAGGAGACTCTCCATCCCATGTGTCTAATAGAGAGATTACTCTGTTTAATGCACAAGAATCCCTCATCATTTTCATGCTTCTGGGATTAATAAGCACTAGATTTTGAATTATATGGCTCTATGGAATTATCAAGGATGTGAGTTATTGTTTAAACTGTTACCAGGTCACTAGGTTATTGTCCCAGATGCACCAAAGAATTGGATATCTGAGACCAGAAAGGGAAGATAGAGTTTACTGAGTAGATAAGTATAGTACACTTTCAAGAGTGTTTAAACTATCTGTAATAATAAGTGGTGTGTACATGTATGTGAATGTGTGTGAAAATGAACTTTTCTGCATTTAAGTCTCTCTTGCTCTTTGAAGATAGAAGATAATTAACCTTTAATAGTCATGTGTTTGCCTGAAGCTAGGTCCCTGTTGTTTTTTCATTTTTGCTATTTCTTCCTTTCTTTTTTGGTTGGGAAGTTTTAAAAATTAATTTATCATAATAAATTTTCTATCAATATATGTACATTTAGGACTATTTTTCAGATAAACAGTCAAAAATGAAAGGAAAAGGATAATGATTAACTGTGCTTTATTTATACATTTTCCCTTTGCCAAAAATTTAACAAATCAGAAAATATGTACCTGTGTTTGTAATATAATTAGTCTTTTAGATGAAAAGAAAATTATGCCCTTAGAATTCTGGCATAAAGTCAAAAGTCTTGCTTTTTAAAATATATGAATACTGAGGTTTATTTACATTAAAAAGAGGTTATGTAATTTCCCAATTAATAAATGAATCTTTAGACAAATTTAGAATGATTTAATATAACTTCTAAAGAACTATTCTATCATTGTTTCCTTAAATTGTTTATGATTACAAAAATACCAAATAGAAATAATTGAAATTTTAATAATGGATATCATTTAAGAAGGTTTTAATCTTGTCAATTCTTATTGATTCTACTACATTTATGTACTGGAATGTTTTACTGATGATACTACAAATCAAAATGTCTTAACATGATAGTGTAAATTGCAGTTTCCAAATCTTTGGTTAACATCAAGACCTTACACTGACATTAAATTGAATTAACAAATTATTATTGGATACCTGCACAAATATAATTTAAAGTTATCCTTTCTCCTTACAGAATGAAAACGAGGACATGCAAATGTTAAGTGATGTATATTTATGTTTATATATGTATAGTTAGGTTTATTTTGCCTAACATAAAAGTTGTCAAAGTGATATAAAATGTGTGATCATGAAAAGATAAAATAACTAACAGTTATTGGATCTCTGTCTTTGTGTTTTCTCGAGGCTAAAAAAGCAAATATTAGTTGTTTTATTAAAGTTGGTAATTAAGGGCACCTGGGTGTGTCAGTTGATTATTGTTTGCCTTAGGCTCAGATCATGATCCCACGGGGTCCTGGGATCTAGGGTGGTTGGCTCCCTGCTAGGCAGGGAGTCTGCTTCTTCCTCTGCTCCTCCTCCATTCAATCCCTCTCTCTCTCTCTCAAATAAATAAAATCTTAAAAAAAAATAAAGTTGGTAATTATTTTAAAAGAATACAGAGAAATAGAAATATGTATACAAGATGACTATGATTTGCTTGTTTTTTTCCTAAAAGAAGGTATGCGTTTACTTTATAAGTAAATTTAATATAATATGTAATGCTCTTTTATAGGCTGATAAAATTAAATATATCTTAAAGATGAAAACTTTAGTCATCTATGTGTATAGTTCTGTATCTATGAATGGCTAAGTGTATACATGTAAAAGTATATTAAGTTTAATACCAATGAATTTTTAAAAAATGAATAAATTTTAAAAATTTCAAAAATATGTATATAGTTGAGGGCATAAGTGAAAATAAAAGTTCTGAGAATTTTGTAGTCTATTTGCCTGTATTTGTAATGCCTCTCCAGCTGGTTCTTTTTGAAGTAAACAGTGACTCATATTATATTTTATATTGTTAGCTCAGTGTTACTGGATTTATTCATAATAAAAAGGCTTTACTGAAAATTTTATATGAAATATATACCAAAGTTAGAATATGGTTTTTATTTCTATAAAATAACCAAATTAAAGTTGTGTCCAGATAAGAGAGGTTACACATATTCTGTTAATTCTCTAAACTTTTTGGAAAACTCCTCAGTCTGTTTGACAAAAAGTTCCTTATTTATTTAAAATTAAGATTCTGAAATTTTTGTTTCTTACTGTTATTTGTTTGATAATATTACCTAATTTGTATAAGATGGAGGTGAGATGGGGAAAATAAGGACTGTTCTTTGTTTTCTTGCCTTAGGCCCCATAATTGTAATTGTGCTAAAACTGCCCTGAGATTAGATATCACCTAGAAATTTATGTATATTCCAAAAGGCAATGGAAATGTTTTATGATCTTTAAACAAAAGGGTGACATAATCACATCTGTGTTCAAGAGGTTTTAATTGGTAAGCCAATTGTAACATGAATAGAATACAAAGAGACTAGAGATAAAATGAAATAACTTTTTATTACTGTCTATATTATAAATACAAAAAGTAAAAGATGAAAGATTTCCAAGTAGATTGTTGAGAATTTGTTTCTGAGGTTATATTTAAGCTACATACATCTTGAACCTGGATGTGCAACTTTAACAAATTTAGTTTTCTTTTTAAACCAGAAAATTATGAGTTAAAGAGACAAATCAGGGGACACCTGGGTGGCTCGGTTGGTTAAGCATCTGCCTTTGGCTCAGATCATTATCCTAGGGTCCTGGAATCAAGTTCCACATCAGACTCCTTACTTGGCAGGGATCCTGCTTCTCTCTCTGCCTACCACTCCCCCTGTTTGGCTCTCTCTCTCTCACATAATTAAGTAAATAAAATCTTTAAAAAAAACAAAAGAGACAAATCAGGAACAACTACATAAATGTACCTTACCTCTATCGTTCCTTCACATAGGAACCAACATACATAATCAAGGTCTTCAGATGGGTTCACATAGACTGCTCCATAGTTTGCAGAGAGAAAAAAGTAGGCATCAACAGACACTTCACAATTTCCATCCTCAGATCCTTTCAAAGAGATGGAAAATTAAATAATCTTTCACAAACTTAAATTTACATAAATTATTAAAGACGGTCATCAAATTACTTGGTAAGATCAATTTGAAAATGTCTACCACAAAATAAGCTTCTACATGTATAGAATACTAAATTTGAAAAAGACAAAGTAGAATAAGGCTAAATCTTCTCATTTTAAAAATGAACTGAGAAATAGAGCATCAAAACTTCAAATAAATTTCCTATTAATGATTATAAAGGTGATTTAATAGATAATATATATTTTGCATTAAAAGAATTTTTATTCTTTATATACTATATCTGCATATGTAATTATTTCAAAAGATATTTGGCAAATATCCTTAAAACATTTATAATAGGCAAACAACTAACAACTTGTCCTAGTCCTCTGATAAAAGGAGTGTGTTTATGTGGGGTGGGAGGGTGTCAGTAAAATATAGATATGCATACATATACATATATAATTTAGCTATTTTGCACTCTGTTAGACATAATATCTGTAATACAATAAAAAATGAAGTTGCAAGAAAGCAAAAGAATGTGACCTCTATTCAACAGGAAAGAGTAAAAACAGATGACTTAGAATTATATAGACTGTAAAATACCTATAATAAATATGTTGAAGTATCTATAGAAAATTAATATAAATGGTAAACAGGGAAGTAGGAAATGAGAGTTTTGGAAACGAAATGTAAACAAACAAGCAAGCAAAGATATCCCAGAATTGTGGAAAGGAACTAATTATGCTGAACTGAGAACCTGTGGTTTTTTTAATTAATGGTGTAATATTCTCAGGTAGTGGAACAACATAGGAGACTGGATACAGTCTCTTTTAAACATACCAAAACCTCCTAGTAAAGTGACCAATAAAATTTTTAATGTAGATAATATTTATCCACAGAATCCTAGCAAATAGTCCTGTTTTAGAATTTTAGGTTAACAAACCTAAAATCTAGTGTTTGTGAGACATGACTTCACAGAAAATATTATGTAAGCTATACAACTTACAACTTAATTATAAAGTAGAGATGGTTCACAAGCTGAAATCTCCCTGCTGTGTGCAAACATATTTAGATATCTTATATGTAATTCTGGAAAAAAGGGAAGAAGATAGGAAGCCTTGCAAAATGTTCCAAACCTTCCAACCTTACCAGTGTAATTAAATTGCTAGTAATTTTAAGATTATAAAAATTATTATTAAATTACTAATAAAATAGTCAGAGGCTGAGATTATCAGCAGATCAGCCATGAGAGAAGAAAATATCAGTAAATTTAATGATGCCAGTAAGAATTATGTCTTCAGTGTGCTGAGATAAAAATAACTCAAATATGGCTATCCTAGCCTATATAATCAATAAATGCTCCTTTCTGTTTTGTGAAGGAGTTTAAATAGTATTAGATTTAACTCTTTATTGAATATTTGGGAGAACTTTGATAAAGGCAATATATTATCTTTATCTTCGTGGAAATATATTTTAAAGCTATTCAATTATTTTAGAGCTTATAGAACTATTCTAATTTTATATATATTATTGAATCAATACATCAACTAGTATTTTTCTGTGAATTTACCCATTTCATCTAAGTTGTCTAATTTACAGGCACAGAGTTCTCTATAATGATGTATGTGATTAAATATTTGTACCTGAGATATCATTCCTTCTTCCTCCCAAATCCTCAAAAAAGAGGTAATGAAAAAACAAAAGTGTTAACTCACAAAGGTAATGAGAATGAGGCAACAGTGAGCAAATATTTTTTGAGCAAATATTTTCAATAAATTTCAAGAAGCTAAAAAGATGGTGGAAACATGACAAAATTATCAGAATGGCAATAGTCAAAAGGCAAAAGTATAATTAGAGGGCATACTTATTAAAAAAAAAAACAACAAATTTATGTGTTTAGCAGATATCTTAAGATTATCAAGACTTAAACGTGCCTGAGATTGTACTTTGGGTTCTGGCAACAGGGAGAATAGTTGACATAGCTTTTCTCTCAACTCACAAATCCAGATAATTATTCTGACCCCCCACTCATCTCCCTGCTGGCCCACAAACAAATAATTTTCAAGGTTTATTCTCAGGAGAAAGAGGATCTTAGAGGCTCCTGCTTTAGGGATACCAAGCTCATTGGGATTCTGCCGTTGAATGGTCAGCTGTCAACTTAGAACCCTCCAATAGAGCTGCCAGTTATCAAAACCCATGTTCACATGGCATGCTTCCAATAAGTACTGCTAGGTCATCGCCATTAAATATGATTATCCAACATTTGGAAAAAAGATTTCAAATAAGAAAGAACAAACCATCATTAAAAATATTTATAGAGGGGCGCCTGGGTGCCTCAGTGGTTTAAGCCTTGGGCTCAGGTCATGATTTCAGGGTGCTGGAATCAAGCCCCACATTAGGCTCTCTGCTCAGCAGGGAGCCTGGTTCCCCATCTCTCTCTGCCTGGCACTCAGCCTACTTGCGATCTCTCGCTCTGTCAAATAAATAAATAAAAAAATTTACAGAAACCGAGGCACTGAATGGAAGACAAAAATTTAAAACAAATCAAAACTATAATATTCTTAGAGTTACAAGAAAATTTGTTTTATCTATATAAAAGAACAGAATGTCACAAAAATCTGCAATTTAGACAAGAGTAAAAATGTCTAGAAAAGTACAAAAATAATAAAAAATTCAACACTAGTTTTCATATTTTTAATTGGAGTGATAGAGTAGAAAATAGGGCAAAATAAAAAGAAGTGGAAAAGATAAGAATTATGAGAAAATGAGATCAATTTAGGAGATGCAATATCAAATTTTTGGACTTAGAGGCACAGAAATAAGAAACAGAAATGATAGATTATTGGTGAAATAATATAGAGACTACCCCAAAATTGAAAGACACATGCTTCCACATAAAAGGGTTTATCAAGTGCTTACACATGAGCAAGAATAAAAATTATGAGAAAGTGAATTCGTGCAGCCACTATGAAAATCATTATGGAGGTTACTCAAAAAATTAAAAATAGAACTCTCATATGGTCCCACAACTCCACTTCTGAGTATTTATTTCAAATTAACAAAAATACAAATTTAAAGAGATATATGCATCCCCATGTTCATTGCAGAATTATTTACAATAGCTAAGTCATGGGCAATCTAATTTTCCACCAGTGGATGAATAGCACACATGTGTACACCACACACACACACACACACACAGACACACACATACACACACAAATGTTATTTGGTCCTAAAAAAGGATGAAAATCTTGCCATTTGCAACAACATAGATGGGACTTAAGGGCATTATGCTAAGTGAAATAAGACAGATAAAGATATATACAGTATAATTTTACTTGTATGTAGAATCTAAAAGGGAAGAAAAAACAAAAACTCATAGATACAGAAAACAGATTTGTGGTTGCCAGAAGTGGAGTGATGGATAGGTAGAACACATGGTGGTGATCAAAAGGTACAAACTTCCAGTTAAAAAATAAATAAGTCCTGGGGATGGGATCGATGTACAGCCTGGTGATTATTCTTAAGAATGTTGTATTATATATTTGAAAGTTGCTGAGAGAGTAAATCTTAAAAGTTCTTATCGCAAGAAAAGAAATGTAACTATGTGTGGTATGGATTTTTTTTAATAAAATTTTATTTTTTTAATTGACAGAGAGATCACAAGTAGGCAGAGAGGCAGCACGAGAGAGAGGGGGAAGCATGTGGGGCTTGATCGCAGCTACCCTGAGATCATGACCTGAGCCAAAAGCAGAGGCTTAACCCACTGAGCCACCCAGGCGCTCCTGTGGTATGGATATTAACTAGACTTATTATGGTGTAGTATGGATATTAACTAGACTTATTATTATGGTGACTGTTTTACAATACATACGAATATAGAATCCTTATGTTATACATTTGAAACTAATATAATGTTATATGGCAATTATTATCTTAATTTAAAAAATTTATAATCTGCAATGTAAGTCCCAAGATAGTGGAATTTCAGGACACTGGAGCAGAGAACATAGATAAAGGCTTCCAGGGAGATAACCACAAGTTGAAAATAAAAAAAATCAAAAGGTAGCTTATTATATACACAATTACATATTACAGCATGCTTTCCTTTCTTTTCCCTGTATCTCAGGGATTGCCATATCAACACAAGGAGTATTGCGTAATCATTTTTACATTTGTGTTCATTCTTTTGCTCCAATAAACAATGATGCCAATTATAATCTTGTATACATATTACTTAGCACGTAGACGGAAGCATGTGTGATGGGAAAGCTAAGTCAAACAGTATACACATTTATAATATATCTGATGGACATAGTGAATAGCTTTGTTCAGATTTTATGGTGATTTTACATTTCACAAGCAATGTATAAAATATCTCAGATTTTTGCCATATTTATGAGAGAAAAAGTATGTATTTATGATGTTTTTAAAATTTGCTTTGTTCTCATTAAGAGTTACAAGCTGGACCCTTTCTCATATATTTAGGAAGACTTTTTATGCCTTCTGAACAGTTTTTGTTTTTTTTTTTTGTTCTGCTGTTTGTCTGCTTTGATGATGTCTTTCAGACACTTTTTCTTGTCATGTAGTCAAAGGACTAGCCTTTTCTTTCTGGTAACTAAATTTTTGATAGCTATAAAGGGTCTTCCCCATCCAAATTTTATAAAGTAATTCTCCAACATTTTCCTGATTTTTATCATTTAAATTTTTATTTTTAAAACTTCTATTGATATGAATTTAACTCAGAGTATTCTGTTAAGATAGAAATTAGACTTTTTTTTTTCCAGATGACGATCCAGTTGTTCAACCTCAATTACTGAGTGATTCTTATTTATCCTAATGACTGAAATGGAAATTCTATTAGATGTTAAGTATTCTGTATGACTTGAATTGATTTTTGGCCGTTTGTTTTGCACAGTTTTGACCGTCAATATAACAGTAACATGTTTTTCATTATTGAAGCTATACAATACGCTTTATTTTTTTTCTTAAAGATTTTATTTACTTATTTATTTATTTGACACAGAGAGAGGGAGAGAGATCACAAGTAGGCAAAGAGGCAGGCAGAGATAGTGGGGGGGAAGCAGGTTCCCCACCAAGCTGAGAGCCCGATGCGGGGCTCGATCCCAGGACCCCGAGATCATGACCTGAGCCGAAGGCAGAGGCTTTAACCCACTGAGCCACCCAGGTGCCCCAGTATGCTTTATTATTTAACAGAACTAAATCTCAGCCCCACAATTCACATAATGCACTTTTACAGGGTATAGTTGGCTTTATTTATTTTGTTAGTTTTCCAGGTGGACTTTAAGAAATAAAACAAACATAAAAAATTGTTATTGTTTTACTGAAATCTTCACAAGTATGTGAAAGAATATGGAGATTTGAAATCTTTACTACACTAGGTTGCCTTGCCAATAGCATGGTATATCTGTACAATTTTTTCCCCCAGATTTTGTGTGTTTGTAACTATACTGTGGCAGTATTTGAAGTTTTCTCAATGTGGAACTCACATAACTGTTAATTTTAATCCTGGGTATTTTAATATTTTCAGTGATTTTTTTCCATTAAATTCATTAATTGGCTCTTGTCTGTATATGAAAGTCACTTATTTTTTATTTAATAATTAACATAATCTTGTAACTGTAAAATACTTTTGAAAGTAATGTAAATGAAAAGCACTAAAATATATTTGGTTTTTAAATCTCAGATTTATTTTTTAAATCTTGAAGTAAGGCCTGAAAATCTTTTTTTGTTTTTCCAAGATTGTATTTTTTTATTTGAGAGAGAAAGAGAGAACAGAAGGAGAACAAGAGGGAGAAGCAGACTCCCCACTCAGCAGAGAGCACAATGTCGGGCTCAATCAGAGGACTCTGAGATCATGACCTGAGCCAGAGGCAGATGCTTAATCTACTGAGCCACCCAGGTGCCCCAAGGCCTGAAAACCTTAAATGGATATAGAAATAACAGCAGGTATTTAACAAAAGATTTGGAAGAGGAGCAGTATAATAAGAAAAGGTACTCTTGATCAAGATTGCTTTGGAGATACAATCTCCAAATAATCATCATAAAATTACAAAAGTCATTTAAATAAATAGAATATTATTAATATCTTAAAATATCTTCTACCACAAATAAGATATTCTACTTCATAAAGAAAAAAGAGTGAGAATTTAAAGGTACATATTGGTTTGCAATATCAATTCAGAAGCACAGAACTCATTCATTTAGAAAAAAATACTTCACTATCACATATTAAATCTTATAAATGTGTGCTTCAAATTCAGTTAACTAAGTTGTAATGATCACAAGCTTTAAAAAAAGAAAGGTATTCAGAGAACGTATCTCTTTATTTTTGCTATGATTTCATCTTTTCTTAACTATGATTCATATCATCTTATTTCACTTCACAACTCATTATCCACTCTGTCAGTATCTCCTTTTCTCAAACCTAATAATACATATAATGAACATAGATGATGACATTGAAAAGAAACAGTGCATGTCAGCTCTTTCTCAAGTTGTGCACTGTAGACCAATTGTCCTTGAAGGGTCTTCTTCTAATTAATTATCATCCCTTCTTTGTAGAGCAATCATATTGGCAAGAATTGATTGGGCGTGTAAGACACTTCATTTAGTTGGTAGAAAAATATCTTAATTAAAAATAATTTTACTACTGGTAAAATTAATGCACCCCATGCAAATTTGCCAGCTTGATTTTAATGTTTCTCTTCAATTATATTTTATGAGGAAAGAAAGGAAATGAGATTTTAACAGCATCAACCAGAAAAAAATAAGAATTACCCGAAACCTGTAATTCTATCTACATACTTTTAAAATTCATCCTAACTTCTTTTTTGTTTTGAAAACTTTACTGAGAGAATTGCTTTATTGAATCTTTATACTGACATTAAAAAGGAATTTGGGTAGCTCTACTTAACTATTTATTGACTATTAAGCTTCATCCCACTGCCTTCTTTAGCTTGGATGGCTCAAGTCATTTAGATTCTCAGATGTGGAGGTCACATAATTCTTATTTTTGTAATCATTAGCTTATGTTCATTAAGTTCTGAACATAGTGTCATGAAAGGATAATGACTAAATACACTTACATTACTTTGATTCTAACTGCTAAAAGATGATTTATGCATTAACAATTTTGACTTCATATTACCCCCATATCCTAAAGAATTTGTTTTACTTTAAAATAAGCTTACTCTATCATTCATTAAACTATGCTTAGTCAGAGATAATTTATCTACAAGCTGTTTGGTTTCCTATTGTTCCTCCTATTTTTCCTAAAAAACATATTTGCTATTTTATTTTTTTGAATGTGTTCCCTGAAGGCATTTTAGTTCTCAGAGAAGTTTAATGTTTATAATTTAGTAAATGTATACATGCATTATTTCTACTTTGAGACAAAGGAAAATCAAGTATAACAATGATGCAGGCCCTGAAGTCCATGAACTGATTTGGCTGGGTACAGTAGATTATTTCTCGTACTGCACATGTAAAGAATTTGGGCAGCCTTTCAAGGTCTCTATGTCCACCTCAGTATGATTCCACTTTGACCGTTCTGTAATGGGAGTCCAGCAGTAGGTTTTAAAAGTTCCTCAGGTGATTAGAATATGTGACTAAGGTTTAAAACAACTAAACTAACACAATCCCTAAATAGTCCTGACACCAAATACATTAGGTAACTTCTCTAACTTCAGTTGTTCTCGTTTGCTTGTTTTGTGTCATTCTTAAAATAGTAAATATTCATAATACAATCTCCTAAGTTCCTTTTAGCACTAGCATAAAATAATCAACAAGTCATTGCTCTCTTCTATCACTTTTGGTGTTGAGTGTGATTTGCTTAATGAACTGGTAACTATTTCTGTCATTAGGGGTTGTTAATTCTCCAGAATATCATTTTAGAGCATAATGAAATAAATTATCATGTCTACTGTCTAAAAAGCTAATTGATAGTTTACTTCAACACTGTTTTAATATAATAGTGGTGCTGTAAGTGCAGCTGTTGTCAGTTGAATAAAATAAGCCCTTAGTTGAGAGCAGACATATCAAACCTACTCATATGCTGATTGTTGATAAACCGTAATGCCAAAATATCATTGACAGAGGAAATAGTCTTTAAAAGATTTAACAGAAGTACCATACAGTTTTAAGAATGTGTGCCAATTTGCATGAGCTAAGTTAACTAGTATACAAAGTGTAATCATAGAACAGAAAATTATGTTCATCAAAATAGATTTTGAAATAAGAACTGCCATTGTATAAAACAATTAAAAACATATTTAAAAAATGTGTTACAATTTTTTCAAGAGTTAAAGCCAGAAACTTAGGATTCCCATTGACATCTCTGTTAGTTGCTCTCTGTATTCACTTCAAAATAAGAACTTTCATGTATTTCAAGCTTCTATCCCCCAACAAGATGACTAATATTCAACTATCAATTTTCCATTCTCCAATCTATTTTTCCTTTTGGCTATTTTTTAAATGTGTCAAACTCTATAGTGATTTCCTATTCCTTTTAGAATAAAAAATAGAAATATTTAACCCAGCACTTTAGCGCTGGCATGGCTCTCTCCCCAAATCATATTTCTATTCTTGTTCTCAGAGATGCAACAGGTCTTCAAAGGATTCATCCCTTTTAATTTAGTGGAGGTTTTTTTAAACCCATTTTTTTGAGGGTATGATGGACATATAAAAAGTTGTGGATATTTGGGATGCTTAGGTGGCTCAGTTGTTATGTGTCTGCCTTTGGCTCAGATCATGATCCCAGGGTCCTGGGATTGAGCCCCTCATAGGGCTCCCTGCTCAGTGAGGAGCCTGCTTCTCCCCCTCCCATTGTCCCTGCTGTGTTCCCTCTCTCACTGTCTCTCTCTCTCTCAAATAAGTAAATAAAGTCTTTAAAAAACAAAAGTTGTAGATATTTAAAGTATACAAGTTGATGTGTCTGGAGTTATGTATACATCTGTGAACCATAATCAAAATAAATATCATAAATTTATCCATCACCTGTAAAACTTTCTTCCCACCCACTTTGTTTTTTTATTTTGTTGTTGTTTATTTTGTTTTTTTTTCCCATGATAAGAACATCTAATATAAGATCTATCTTCTTAGCAAAATTTTAAATATACAGTATGTTACCATTAATCATAGGCCCTATGTTGTACAGTAGATTTCAAAACTGCTTTATCTTGCATGACTGAAACTTTGTATACTTTGAAACACAGTGTTTTTAAAAAATATAATTCCCTCAAACTAAAATGCACTCTTCTCTAACTTCTCTACCCTCACTTTATTCTTTGTATCTCTGTTCAAGGGTCATTTTATAATGGAAACTTTATCTGACCTCCCCATTTACTCTTCCAATTGTCCAATTTTTTTCTTTTTTCTTTTTTTTCCTCTTTGGTTATAAGATGTCATGAGAGGCTATTTTATTTCGTATTGTATCATACTGTATATGCCCAATAATTTCTCTCCAAAAAACAGATCTACAAGAGTAGGGAATAGCTCTAGTTTTCTTCATTATTATATACCTTGTACCAAGCAGAATTCCTGAGATGTAGTGGGTGTTAAGTGTATGTCTATTAAAGGAACAAATCAGAGAACACAGTATTAAATACATTCTTACTTTATTTCGTGTTTTGAGATATAAAATATTTTGTGTAATTGGAAACAGACTTACCTAATAGATTTTGAAGTGATTTAGACATACAAAAAAAAAAAAAAAAAGATTGGATTACCTTTAAATACCAGTTGCCACAAATATTTAAATTGAGGAGGAGGATGGACTTTAGCTTGGCAAATGTCATGGCTTTTGGTTCCACAGTAGCAGGGGTACAGATGAATGAAGCAAACATTCTTCACAAGCCAACAGGAATATCTCGTGCACTCTAAAGTACCTACATACTAGAAAAGGAAGCAATGCAAAATGATATGCATCTTATTAAAATATGTTTATGAGTATTTTGCTTATAAATATACAGTTGATTTCTAGAATTACTGATTAAAGTTTATAAGACATACTTTTTAGGTAACTTTTGCTTATTTCTTTTATTCTTTCCATTTCTCTTTCTGTACCATCTTTCATCATGTTCATGTTCAAAACGCTTATGTGATATTCTTTTGGCTAGATTGACTCATTCTTCAATCCACAACAGTCCCTTACACTCTGTTTTCTGGGATATATATCACAAGGTATGTTTCCTGGTGTGTATTAGCCTGGGTTTTTGTCCTGTTAAGTACATGGTCTGAGGGTGGGGCAGACACCATGACCATCTAGGGATGACTGTAGCCAGAAAGGAGTCCATGACTTGTAGAGTACCGTGAGGTACTCTCACCAAATGCCAGGGATCAGACAGATTTAAAACAACTCTGCCAACTGTTCTGATACCAGAGTTTCATACATGACCCAGCACAGGCCCCAGCCCAGAGCTGCCCTTCCAACATCTGTTCATGACAGAGCCATGAGGCACAGAGCACCAGGCCTATCAGTGCCTCCAGAGAAGCCCAAGGCTGCTCCCCTAACTGAAGGCACATCACAGTGCCAAGAGATGCTCCACTTAGCATTTACACCTTCTCTAGAAGAAAAATAATCAGCAGAAATAGCATAATGAGGGGTGGCTGGGTGGCTCAGTGGGTTAAAGCCTCTGCCTTAGGCTCAGGTCATGATCCTGGAATCAAGCCCTGCATTAGGTTCTCTGCTCAGTGGGGAGCCTGCTTCCTTCTCTCTCTCTGCCTGCCTCTCTGCCTACTTGTGATCTCTGTCTGTCAAATAAATAAATAAATCTTTAAAAAAATAGCATAATGATTATCCAATTTCTGAGACCTATGTGTTCAACTCTACCCAGACCTGAGTTAATTGGTCTTTCCCTCTTAAGAAGTCACAATTTCTGTATAGGTATAGTACAAATTAAAAGTAACTATAGTATTAAAAGGTACACTATTTGAAGCACAGGTGAACCAATAGTATTAACACAATGAGATGCCAGGTACTGTTAGAAGTTGTTTAGTTTTTAAAAATTTGTGTATCATTTGAAAATATTTTAATATAATTAGGGCATATTTTCTAATATGATTTGTCTATGGTGATTCCTAGTATCTTCAAAGACAGAATTCATATCTGGTTATATCCACAATGGAATTAATAAAATTTAAACAATTTCAAGTCACACTCAAGCCATCAATAAGTTTTAATACATGCTACTGAAGTTTTAGAATGACATAAACCAATAAGGTAAGTTTAAGCCCTGGGGACAGACTACTATCACATATTCTATTTTTGGATACCCTACATTTATTTCTGATTCTCCAAGCTTTCAGTGAGAAAATTCCCCTAAATTAGCCAATCTTAGAAGAGCTGAGTCATGGGGCACAAAGAATCACAAACATCTGAAATTTCCTTTATTGCAATTACTACACTAAGTGATCTTTGTACTCATTGTTTCAAGTCATAATTACATTTTACCTGGATTCACAACACAATTTCCTAATAACTAGACAAAATATGAATCTTGAAGTAGAAGTCTCTATATTAATTAATAAGTGGCAATATAACAGGAATCAACACTAAAGATGAGAGATAATCTGAAAGGTTAATTAATTAAGGAAAAATAGTCATTCTGAATTCATGTGGACATGGTGACTAATATAATACTCACTGCCTATTAAAACACTATTTTCTTAATTTTCATAAACTTAAATAGAAAGACTTGATGATTCAGCATAATTGTCTGACCAAATCGATCTTTGCAAAATTCAGTTACTCTAAAGTCTCCTCTCTTTTACATTGAAGTTAATTTATTTTCAGTAGGATGAATAGTCCTCTCTTCTGTTATCTAAAGTTCTACAGTGACCTCAGATAACATGTTAATATTAATTTTTCTCCATCAATTTTATTTATTCCCATGAGAATTAAAAACATTCACATGGAAATGCTTATTGATCTATTTTATTTTTTAATCTCACCAAATTAACACTTGGACTAAATGCTTTAAAAATAATACCTAGTTTTAATACTCTTCATAGAATTCATGTATTAGGTAACAAATGTTTGTTAGAAAATCTGTGGCAGTCTGGAAATACATTTCAGCGATCATAAGTTTCAACCTTTGTCTATAAATAGAAATATTACTCTTTTTATATAAAATGTTGTGGTAGAGTACATTTAGGGTGACCAACTCAACTATTTACCTGGGTCTTGACTTTGTTAGTATTGAAATTCCTGTGTCCAATGAAGATACTAAGTACTCTGCAAACTGCTATGGGTAGTTGCCCCCAGTAGATCATATATTCAAAGTATTATTCCTGAATTGAATGAGAATGAGGAACAGAGCTGCAACTGGCACGTGATGACAGAAATTACCTTCTGTTTTAGGCCTCTGAAATATGTTTGCCTGCACCTGTGTGTTTGTGGGTGGTTAATCACCATAGCATAACTTACCTAACACTCTTTTCAAAAGTTTCTTCCATCTAGAGGTCAGACTAAACTCAGTTTTTGAGGATTGTTTCAAATTTGAAATATCTATCAATAGTATTAAATTTGTCCTTATCTTACAAAATATATAGCTCATATTTCTGTAAGAAAAATTTTTCTATTTTTTATTGTTATGTTAGCATAAAGTACATCATTAGTTTTTGATGCAATGTTCTCTGATTCATTGTTTAATTAATATTACATTTATTGTGGTAAACAGTAGGTGTTTATAAATTGCTAATAAAATATACACAGAAAATAGTAGTGTCAATTTATCCTGAACTTGACTGCCAAGTTTATATATAAAAATTGAAAACGGCAAGCGATCCAGTGTTTATACTATTTCTTTTGAAAGTGAGTGGGGTGCCGGGGGTGGGGATATACAAACATGCATTTGGAAGTGAACATTTATCTTGTTGTTGACAGTGAACTAATTAACTGGCACATATTAGAAACCTAAACTTGAACTGACTTTGAACTTCAATAAGCTTCTGAGAGCATAATTTTGGTAAGCAAAGAATGAAATTAAGACAAGTAGTTTCACTATGGCAGTACAAAGAAGGAAGAAAATCAAGAGAATGGTCCATAAAAAGGAAAGCAATCATTTTTCTTTTTTTGCATCGCATGTCAGTATATGTCACATCAGAAAGAAGAAAATTCTGCAGTACCAAAGTTTTGTGACTTTTATTTGATTGACACAAAATACATATTCATAAAAATTTTGTAATCCTAACCAACTGATTTAACATCTCTTATGCCAAATGTATTTGAAGATGCTTTGCTTAAGGCTTTTCCTTTTTTTATAAAGGGAGATTGATCTTGATTGATAGTATGAAGAAGCTTTGAAAACAACTCTAGATGTTGATTTATTATTTTAGCAGACACATTTCTTAGGCTAGATAATGATTTCTTTTAGATATCCTGCTTCTCTTGCTATATTAAGTATCTTAAACTTGTCTCTTTCAAAGAAACTATATCTCTAAATCATGCCTTATACCTACAACTACAAGATCTATGTTCCCTGGTGATTCTATTTATATTTATTTTAAGCGCTTATCAGTTTTTATAAACTGTGTAAAAAAACATAGACATATTTTTCCTTTTATGTAATAAAGAAATTAATAAAAGGGATAAAGGGTACTCCATCTCTTTCTGTGTTGTATGAGAGATACAATTTTACCATACATATAACTTTTACCATTCTTCAAATATGTTCAAAAACATTATCTTATTTAATTCATTTCGTTTGAATACTCAACAGCCTTGAAAGTAAGTCTTATATTCTGTTTTATACTTAAGATAAAAAGACAACAACTAAGAGGTTTTGTCTTTTTGTTTTAAGTTTATGCACCTCGATTTTCATAAGACTAGGACATAAACCTACATAGTTGGGTTTCAAACCCCATTATCTTCTACTTTATTTTTGTTCTTTAATTTACACATTAATAGAACAATTGGTGCAATTGTTAACTGACTGACACAACAGAAATGTTACCAACTTTGAGGTACAGGATCTTATAAATCTGAAGTTCTCTTGTTTTTGTGACCTTCCCCTTCCATTGCTATTTCTTTTTCACTCATCCTTCTTTAGCTACCACTAATAAATCATTAGCATTTTATTTATTTATATTAAATCTTACTCTACCTGGTTTAAAGAAATTTAATGACTTTTGAAAGAGCAGTGATGAATTCACAAGGAAAAAAATTAGAAAATATCTAATGATACTTCCTACAAGAGACTTAACATAGCTTTAAGAACACATGTAGACAGAGTGAAGGGATGGAAAAATATATTTCAATCAATTGGTAACCAAAGTACAGTGGGGACAGTTACAGCAGACAAAATTGACTTTAACCAAGAAATGGTTAAAAGAACCAAAGATGGTTATATAATGATAAATGGGTCAACCCATCAAGAAGATATAGCAGTTGTAAATATTTATGCACCTAATATTGTAGCACCCAAATATATAAAGCAAATGCTAGAAGAGCTAAAGGGAGAAATAAATAGCAATACAATAATACTTAGGGACATTAATACCCCATTATAAACAATGAATAGATCCGTTCAGAGAATCTATAAAAAAGAGCAGATTTGAACCGAACTATAGACCAAATGGATCCAGCAGAATATTCCACTCAACAGCAGCAGAATAGGCATCAATGATATGTTAAGACACAAAACAAGTCAAAGAAAAGAAGAATAAGTTATATCAAGTGTCTTTATTGACCACAATAGAGTGAAGCTATAGGTGTAATAGGAGAAAAGCTGGAATTATATGGAAGTTAAACAACACAAAAATAGATCAAAAAACATATCAAAGGAAATTAAAAAAAAAAACTTGAGATAAATGAAAATGGAAAAAGATGCTAAAATATAGATGCAGCAAAATCAGTTCTAAAGGGTAAGTGTATAGTGATAAAAACACAGATC